GACAAGGTAAACCTTTGTTATAATAGGTTGGGATATGTGACCTGTAAGTGAACTCTGTGATGTAAACGTGTCTCTCCCTCCACAGTGTTATATAACCTGTATGATGTAAACGTGTCTCTCCCTCCACAGTGTTATATAGCCTGTATGATGTGAACGTGTCTCTCCCTCCACAGTGTTATATAACCTGTAAGTGAACTCTGTGATGTAAACTTGTCTCTCCCTCCACAGTGTTATATAACCTGTATGATGTAAACCTGTCTCTCCCTCCACAGTGTTATATAACCTGTATGATGTAAACGTGTCTCTCCCTCCACAGTGTTATATAACCTGTATGATGTAAACGTGTCTCTCCCTCCACAGTGTTATATAGCCTGTATGATGTAAACGTGTCTCTCCCTCCGCAGTGTTATATAACCTGTATGATGTAAACGTGTCTCTCCCTCCACAGTGTTATATAGCCTGTATGATGTAAACGTGTCTCTCCCTCCACAGTGTTATATAGCCTGTATGATGTAAACGTGTCTCTCCCTCCACAGTGTTATATAGCCTGTATGATGTAAACGTGTCTCTCCCTCCACAGTGTTATATAGCCTGTATGATGTAAACGTGTCTCTCCCTCCACAGTGTTATATAACCTGTATGATGTAAACATGTCTCTCCCTCCACAGTGTTATATAACCTGTATGATGTAAACGTGTCTCTCCCTCCACAGTGTTATATAACCTGTATGATGTAAACGTGTCTCTCCCTCCACAGTGTTATATAACCTGTATGATGTAAACGTGTCTCTCCCTCCACAGTGTTATATAACTTGTATGATGTAAACGTGTCTCTCCCTCCACAGTGTTATATAACCTGTATGATGTAAACGTGTCTCTCCCTCCACAGTGTTATATAGCCTGTATGATGTGAACGTGTCTCTCCCTCCACAGTGTTATATAACCTGTATGATGTAAACGTGTCTCTCCCTCCACAGTGTTATATAACCTGTATGATGTAAACGTGTCTCTCCCTCCACAGTGTTATGTAACCTGTATGATGTAAACGTGTCTCTCCCTCCACAGTGTTATATAACCTGTATGATGTAAACGTGTCTCTCCCTCCACAGTGTTATATAACCTGGTATGATGTAAACGTGTCTCTCCCTCCACAGTGTTATATAACCTGTATGATGTGAACGTGTCTCTCCCTCCACAGTGTTATATAACCTGTATGATGTAAACGTGTCTCTCCCTCCACAGTGTTATATAGCCTGTATGATGTAAACGTGTCTCTCCCTCCACAGTGTTATATAACCTGTATGATGTAAACGTGTTTCTCCCTCCACAGTGTTATATAGCCTGTATGATGTAAACGGGTCTCTCCCTCCACAGTGTTATATAGCCTGTATGATGTAAATGTGTCTCTCCCTCCACAGTGTTATATAACCTGTATGATGTAAACCTGTCTCTCCTCCACAGTGTTATATAACCTGTATGATGTAAACGTGTCTCTCCCTCCGCAGTGTTATATAGCCTGTATGATGTAAACGTGTTTCTCCCTCCACAGTGTTACATAGCCTGTATGATGTAAACGTGTCTCTCCCTCCACAGTGTTATATAGCCTGTATGATGTAAACGTGTCTCTCCCTCCACAGTGTTATATAACCTGTATGATGTAAAGTGTATCTCCCTCCACAGTGTTATATAACCTGTATGATGTAAACGTGTCTCTCCCTCCACAGTGTTATATAACCTGTGTGATGTAAACGTGTCTCTCCCTCCACAGTGTTATATAACCTGTATGATGTAAACGTGTCTCTCCCTCCACAGTGTTATATAACCTGTATGATGTAAACGTGTCTCTCCCTCCACAGTGTTATGTAACCTGTATGATGTAAACGTGTCTCTCCCTCCACAGTGTTATATAACCTGTATGATGTAAACGTGTCTCTCCCTCCACAGTGTTATATAACCTGTATGATGTAAACGTGTCTCTCCCTCCACAGTGTTATATAACCTGTATGATGTGAACGTGTCTCTCCCTCCACAGTGTTATATAACCTGTATGATGTAAACGTGTCTCTCCCTCCACAGTGTTATATAGCCTGTATGATGTAAACGTGTCTCTCCCTCCACAGTGTTATATAGCCTGTATGATGTAAACGTGTCTCTCCCTCCACAGTGTTATATAGCCTGTATGATGTAAACGTGTCTCTCCCTCCACAGTGTTATATAACCTGTATGATGTAAACCTGTCTCTCCCTCCACAGTGTTATATAACCTGTATGATGTAAACGTGTCTCTCCCTCCGCAGTGTTATATAGCCTGTATGATGTAAACGTGTTTCTCCCTCCACAGTGTTACATAGCCTGTATGATGTAAACGTGTCTCTCCCTCCACAGTGTTATATAGCCTGTATGATGTAAACGTGTCTCTCCCTCCACAGTGTTATATAACCTGTATGATGTAAAGTGTATCTCCCTCCACAGTGTTATATAACCTGTATGATGTAAACGTGT